CTGGGGATCGCGCTGCCGCCATCCTCAGGTGGGGCGGCGCAGCGGGATCTGCCTGCAGTATGCAAATTAGTCACCATCTTTGTTGGTGGTTAATTTGCATATCGCACTGATTAGCCAATGGGAGGTGTAGCAAAGGTATGGTCAATTACCATGTTTGTCTATTATTAGATAGGATAGTTTTCAAATAACTATCATTGTTACTATTAACCAGCAGACTACTGTTAAAGCTTAACACTTCTTTGCAATTCCATTTGTCTTTAGTTCCTCTTCTTATCTTCTCTCCCTTCAAACCTACCACTGACACACCCAGGCGGGCCTCCCTCTTTACTCCCCCCAGAGTCTTTGGAAGCACCAGGGCAGAAAAGAAGGGCTATGCCCCCTTGGTTCTGGAGATCTGCCTCCTGAGACCCTGTTGTAATCCTGGCGCCTGGAACAGGGCTGATAGTAAATATTTGTTGAATGAGTGGAGAGTGGCTGAAGGACTGGATGAGAGATGTGCTGCAGCAGAACACTCTCTGGGGCCCGTTGCCAGGGGGCGCGTCCCAATTAAGGGAGCATTCTTACCAGGGTGCCTGTTTTGTGGTGTCACCACTTTCCCCAAAGCCAGGGTTTCGCCTGGTGAGCTCAGCCTTTGAAGATTCAAATTTCCAAATGCTGATGAGAACTGAGTAGAACTGTGGCTTCTGCTCCTTTCTGCAGGGGGGACCGCAGAGCATCATCCGAGGCTTAGAGGAAGCCAGGCAGACGGTGAGTTCAGGATTGGCAGGGAGCAGGGAAAATGGAAGTTAGCAAATGTGGAGCCATGACTGCCCTGCTCCCTGGTGACTCTAACAAGTGAAAATTTTATCAAAGATTGGCGCGCTAACGTAGATACAACTTGCAGTATAATAGCTCACAGCTGTGTTTAACTTATAAGGTGCGGCCTAGAATAAAGGACGGCTTTCCAAGGGGTCTGGGTGGCAGCAGCCTTGCGAGAAGGTACATTTTCAGGGCGGCATTTTGTTCCCACCAGCATTCTCTACCAAATAAATCTGTCTGTCATTATGCCCAACTCCCAGAATACGGAACTGAAGGTCCAACAGTTTCTCAGAAGCCAGTTTAAATGTCAGAACTGGTTTTGTCATTAGTTTCCACGTGGAGCAGCATCAAGGGGGAACTGCTGTTCTTAGAATGTGCTGAAAAGGGGCATGGTGTGTGCGCTGCTCAGTCCAGGGTCCTGGCCAAACTGCACTGCGGGCCCACTCACACTGCGCAGTGTGCTTAAGGGAAGGACACGATCTGGCAAAGCTGGGTTTGCTCCTGGCCTCGCCCTTTCCAGCTCAGTTACTGCTCATTCTCTTTGTGCTTCGATTTCCTCATGTATAAGATGGGAAAATCATAGTTTTCACCTCACAGTGGGCATGTGAGAGCTGAGGTCAGTGCCTGCATGCAGTGTTCCCAGGAACCTGTGCCTGTCAGTCCTCCACAGCACAAGTGCGCATGGGCTCTGTGTATTAGGACAAGGTCGTGCTCAGCAGAACCTTCAGGGTGCCTGTGTGGGAGCTGTGGCCCAGAACAGGTGACACTTTCAGCAGCACAGAGGTTAAGAGCATTGAACTTGGAACCCTTCAGACCCGAGTTCACACGCTGACTGGGCCCCTGGATGGCAGGGAGGCTGGGTCCAGTGAAGATGTGCATCATGGTGCGCGGAGGGCCTGTGGACATTGAAGGGAGACCTGCTCTGCCTTGGAGTCGGGACATCGGCATGGAGCCTTGAAGGCTGCAAGCGATCTTATCTTGTGGGTGATTTGGAGAATGGGATGGGAGCTGGGAAGGGCATTTCAAGCAGAATGAATCACTCATTGAAAAAGCCGATAATCTATTGAGCAAAACTAAACATGACTTTTGGTGCTGGTGTCTGGGAAGAAGAAAAGCTGAGCCTGCCATTCTCTTGGTTCTCTGTTCTCAAGGGCATCGCTGCCCGGGATGTTGGCATACCCAGGGCTTGCCCGCAGTCAGTGTGTCATTTCTTCCAGCTGGCACTGGCACTGGCACTGGGGGCGTGTAGGGTCACAGAGGCCCACGGATGGGTATCTAGTGGGTCCGAGTGTGATGCAAACGAGCTGCAGTGGGTACCAAAGTCAGTGAGGTGGGAAGCTGCTCTGTGGGCCTGTGCTTTTTCCATTCTTCTCACTGCCCCCGCCAGCACTGCTCCATCCCCACCGCCAGGCTTCCCGTGGTCAGACCAACCTTCACGCTCTCCCTCACACATCTCATTCTCTGCTGTGCTACCTGCTGGACAGACATAGACACATAGAAAGGGACACTGGCACCACCCAACCAGAGTGAGGGCAGAATGGATACAGACAGGAGACAAGAAGTGCTGGGGGCCTGCAAGGAGAGTGGGGGGAGAAGGTATGGGCAGGAAGCAGAGCTTTACTTCTCCTTCGTTAGCCTTGGGGATTTGCTGAGGAATTTCAAAAGGGGAGTGGTAGGTAGTGGTAGGTAGCTCTCCTCCTTACTGTGGCCCTAAGAACCTGGTATTAAAGGAAAAGGCAGAACCTAATGGTATTGAGGTATTTAGGGTAAAAGGCAAATTGGTATTTTAGGAAATTTATTTTAACCACCGGAGTGAGGCAGAACCAACTGGAGACAGGGAGACTGGTCAGCAGGCTTTGCAATAGTCTGTGTGAGGCAAGGGTTGTAGTAACAGAGAGAGGGGAGGGCCTGGTGCTAAACTGGTTATGGGGCTGCTGTGGAGCCGAGACGAGGGGAGACAGGAGAGAAAGCAGTGGACTGTGCATTCGGGGAGCAGAAAGAAGAGCAGAGGTCAAGAAGGAGGCAGAGAAAGTGGCCCAGGGATAGGAGAGGCCTAGGGAAGTAGCCTGGAAGTCAGGCAGGTGGTCAGCAGTGTTTTACCTGGGGGAGGGAGAGGGCTGATGGCCTGAAAGACGCAAAAAGGGCTGAGGAACCAGAAGTCAAGCAATGGGCAAAGCAAAGATTTGATTAGGAGTCGGGAACAGAGAGGGAGGCCGGGAGGTCATGGGGGGGAGCAGTAGTTCCAAGTTCAGGGTCTTGGGGGCAGAGTACTGGTGACTGTGCTTGAAGGGGTGATGGCTGTGCCGTGTTGGTGGATGATGGTCTTTATGGGAGGAGGTTGAGGTGCTGGGGGCCGTCCCTGGAGATGAAAGCAGATGGGAGAAGAGAAGACGATGACCCAGAGCTAAAGGCATAAGGACATTCTAGGGTTGAGAGCTGACAGCAATGTGGAGGGAGATAGAGGTGCCAGGAAATAGTTTGTGCTTCCCCAGAGGAAAGCTGTGGACCTGGACTGGGAGCCTCATGAGATGAGGGACCAGAGTGTCACCACTACCTGCCACCTGAGTTAAGGCAGAGGCTGGGTGCTCAGTGTTAGTGGAAGGCAGTCAAGGGGTGGTCTGGGGCGTGCTATCCTCGCTCTCCTCCTTACTGTGGCCCTAAGAACCTGGTATTAAAGGAAAAGGCAGAACCTAAATGTTTTGGGACATTATCCAGATAGAACTGATGTCCCTGTGGGGCACTCGGAGCTTGAGACCCCAAGGGCTGGCCTGCAGGATGAAAACTCCTGGGGAAGTACACAGTTCCCCTGGGCTGCATGACACATTAGTTTAGGAAAACACTGCCTCTGGGTTCAGGAACCTGACCCTCTGGCCTTTTGTCTGGATGCTGTTTGCCTCTCTGAAGAAGCGGGCATTCCAGAAGGCCGAGGTCAGTGTTGGACTCTGGACAAACCCTGTGTGTCTTTGCTGCTCCCTGGAATCTCAGTGCTGGGCCTGGGAGAAGGGAAGAGCTTTGCCAGCAGGGAGATCGATTTCGCTGACATCATTAAAACCCACTCTCAGGTCACATGCTGGGCAGTTTTCTCAGACCATTTCCCTGCACTGCCCCAGCCTGGCCTAAGCTATTGCCACCTCTTCAATTATATCTCCCGAGGGTCAGTCCCGCCCCCAGCCCCCTCTTCCATCCAGAGACGTCTTTCTAAAGCCAGTCTTACTGCTTCCGGGTCCCACCAGGCACCCTCTGAGGCTCCCCACTGTTCCGAGGATGCAAACCTATTGGCCAGGCCCTGAAGGGTGGCCAGCAACAGCCCTCCTGGCCTCCAGGGCCACAGCACATATCTCAGTGCTGCTGTCTGTAGCCTTCCTGCTTCCCTCCCATCTGTACCTTCCCACCTGCTGTGCCTTCGCCTGGAATGCTCTTCTCTCGACTCCTTGCCCCTCAAGAGAAGAAATTAGCAGCTTAGCTTCCCTCCCATCTGTACCTTCCCACCTGCTGTGCCTTCACCTGTAATGCTCTTCTCTCACCTCTCACAGAGACTCCTTGACTCCTTTCCCCTCAAGAGAAGAAATAAGCAGCTTAGTTCCAGGGTAGCGCAGGTTCCCTGCCTGTTCGCTCCCACCTCACCACCCATGACTTCTTATGCGTAGCGCTTTTCACCATTGTGCTGAAATGTCATGACTGGAAAGTTTGCATAATTCTTGTGTCAAGTCTGTCTCGCCACTAGATTATAAACTTCATTTATACGAGGATCATGGCAGTACTGTTCACCCCATAGCCTGTGACCCAGTGCAGTGCCTGATGTTTGTTCAGTACATTTAGGATGTAGTAGTAGGAGGAATAGTAACAATAATAATATTGAATTCTCTTGACTTCTATCTTATACTGCCTCCCTCTGTTAAAAAACCCCCACCTGAATGAGGTGGTAGGGGCATGGCCCAGGTGTCCTCCAGTTGGGCCCAGCGTGGGTGGGTGATGGCTCCTGGCCTAATGCTGGTCATTAGGTGCTGATGTTGGCACCGGAAGCCTGAGCAGCTGTCTCTTTCATCTGTTATTGCTCTGAGTTTGCATTTGTTATTTGCTTCTCATTTCCTAGTAATTGCTGTATCCATTGTGACACCTACTTGTGACAATGGAAGCAAACTGGAAAAGGGCTTCCCCCTGCTCCACTCATGATGGAGACGGAGGTTGGAGTCCCTCTCTGCGAGGAGGGTGGGGAGAGCGGGCTGGGGCAGGAGTTGGTCTGGCTGCATACATAGGCCAGCAGCAGGTTTGATCCAACGAAACCAACTTTGCAACTTCCAGACTCATTTTTTTCTCCCTTCTTGAGTGTGGATATGACATTAGTTCTGGTTAGAAACCAAATTTCCTTTTAAATGAATTAATAACACAAAACAGAACCTTTGGTGAACAGCTGTTTTTATCCATGGGGACTTGGCGCCTGGTTGTGATTTCGTCTGCAAGGAAAACAGGCTTCGTTGGGCTCTGATGGCGGGAGCAACAGCAGGATTCCAGGCAGTTTGGAGTGAGTGATGGGAGGATCACAGGCTTCAGAGGCAGGAAGGTCTGCATTTGCAACCTGGCTCTGTTGCTCTCTAGCTGTGGGATCCTGGCAGGTTCCTTCACCTCCCAGTGCCTGCATTTACTTATCTGTGAAATGGAAATGATACCATCTCCTAGTGCTGTGATGGTTAAAGGAGATTGCACAGGCAGATGAGGCGGCCTGCCCATGGCAGAAACTCACAAGTTATTTCTTCTCTTTTGAGAGAAGTCAGGGATGTACTAGGGGGAAAGCAAGGGCGGCGCTCTTAAGTCAAGTGTAGAAGGGCCCTGGGGAAGACCTTGCCTGTCACTGCTGTGTCCCTTACTCCGACCACAGAGCCTGGCACACTGTAGGATCAATGCTTGCCAGTACTTGCCAATCCTTATTGAATGAATGAGAGGCAGATAGA